CTAGCCTACATCTTTGATTAAACCATGGGTTTCTCATCTTCATTTCTCTGTTTTCCTTTTGGACTGGGACAAACTTGTTTGCTGCGTCCTTGCACTTCTGCGTGATGTAATCCATCATATCTTGGGTCGTCTTTCCCCTGAGCTCTGTTTCCCATGCTATATCTGTTAGGAATTTTCTTATCCCCTCATAGTTTCCCTTTCGGTATGCTAACCTTTTGGTTTCGGTATCCCTCCTCGAGTTCAATAACCCTTCTTCAATCAAGTACTCAAACACCAGTACACTGTGGTCGCTCATTCCTACTGGGTCCTCAAAACCGATTTCTCTTATGTCGGAGTCGTTCAGAGTGAAGACTAGGTCGAGTCTCGCTGGTTCGTCATTGCCTCTCATCCTTGTGGGTTCTCCGACATGCTGCGTTAAAAAGTTGCTTGTCACCACCTCCAATAGTTTGGCTCTCCACGTATCCTCGCCTCCATGCGGTTCCTTGTTCTCCCAGTCAATCTTTCCGTGATTGAAGTCGCCCATGATGAGCAGGTGGGATCTATTTCTACAGGCAGCAGAGGCTGCCCTCTCAATTATAGTGTTAACTGCCTTGTTGTTGTTTTCATACTCTTGACTGGGTCTCCTGTCATTTGGTGGAGGGTTGTATATTACTGCTACTACTATTCTTGGTCCTCCCATTGTTATGGTGCCTGCTATGTAGTCTCTGAACTCCTCACAGCCCGGGATGGCCATCTCCTTAAAACTCCATTCCCTTCTCATGAGTAGGGCCACTCCGCCTCCTCCTCTACCTTCCCTCTCTTTCCTTATTACTGTATACTCCTGGGGAAACACGGCATTCGTTATGATTCCAGAGAGTTTTGTTTCAGTGAGTCCGATTACATCTGGGTTAACTTCTTGTGCTCTTTCCCTTAGTTCACTTGTCTTGCTTGTGATCCCATCTATGTTCGAGTACATCACCCTGAAACTGACTCTCTTCTGCTTCTTTTCTGGGGGGACTTTTGGGATCTGGGGTGAGTGGGAGCTGGGGGGACCTGGCACGGGGGGATTGGTGGAGGAGGGAGGGCTTGGGGTGGTGGGGGAGAGGGGGAGGGTACAGGGGGTGGATAAGAGGGGGAGGGTACAGGGGGTGGATAAGAGGGGGAGGGTACAGGGGGTGGATAAGAGGGGGAGGGTACAGGGGAAGTATGTGTGGAAGCATCGGAGTGTGTATATATGAATGCTACACAGTATTCATCTATGGACATCCATATATGGTGAAACACATGTGAAGAACCTCTCACACACTCACAGCTCCCTGACAAGAGGGAGCCAACTTAGCTTAGCTGCCAACACCCACACATCGTGTCAGCAAGGCGGACAGCCCGCCTGCTTTCATACCTATCACTGTATTTCCCACTTCTATACTTCCCTTCACCTACCTCCCTTTCATACCTCTCACTGTATTTCCCACTTCTATACTTCACCTTCCCTTGTGGTTATCAGGTCAGGACTTTTGTTCTATCAAAGCAGATAATTGTCTTTAATTATTTTTCCAAACACATGCCATTAACACATGTTAATAATTTTGTTTTAGGCAATACCTTGACTTGTATTGTTCTTATCTGATACTTAGACATGTATATGTTCTTAATACTCGTGTTTAATTAAAGCATTGTCAACATGATTTTTCACCTAATGTTTTAATTTTTGAGCACATGCCGAGCGGTGTTAGTATTCCGCACACCTGATCTTCCTTTAATATTTAATATGCAATTTCACATGTAACCCATTATTGAATGCCACCAAGGTCCTTTTCAATATTATTGTAACTATCTAGCTAGCCAGAGCTTGTCGACAAGGGACGTCGACTTGGTTACATGTCCGAGTGGTGTTAGTACTCAAATATTATGACGGTTGGGATATAGCCAATCACAGTCGAATAGACCTTTGATGTCATTCCCTACAGAGAGTTGGTACTGACCACTCTGGAGGCAAGGTCAGTATCTCACGAGACCAGAGTAGGTAGGACCTCGGCAGGCCAGATACATACCTTGTTGTCTATATACTCAATAAACTGCTGAAGTGAACTATTCTGTATTCTCTACAAACAAGCTAGCACCATAAATCTAAAGGTAACGAAAAACCTTAAGGTCATTTGATGTTCCCATTTTTCTGATGGGAACATCAGATCATTTGGGAATGCATTGGACAAGGAGTGAAGAATGGTGGGGAGGACGAGGGGATGGAAGTGGGGGATGGTTGGGAAGATGAGGGGACAGGGGAGGGGGTAATGGTGGGGTGGACGGGGGAATGGGGGATGGTGGGGAGGACGAGGGGGATGGGGAAGTGGAGAATGGTAGGGAGGACAAGGGGACTGGGCGATGGTGAGGAGGACAAGGGGACAGGGAGGGGGTAATAGTGGGGAGAACGAGGGGGTGGGGGATGGAGGGAAGGACGAGGGGATGGGGAGGGGGGAATAATGGGGAGGATGAGGGGACGGGGGAGTGGTGGATGGTGGGGAGGACAAGAGGATGGGGAATGATGGGGAGGACGAGGGGATGGAGGGAGTGGGGGGTGGTGGGAAAGATGAAAGGACAGGGAAGAGGGGGTATGGTGGGGCGGACGAGGGGACAGAGGAGTGAGGAATGGTTGGGAGGACGAGGGGACAGGAGAGGAGGGAATGTGGGGACAGGGGAGGGTTACTGTGTAGCCACAGCAAAGCGTGGCCGGGTACAGCTAGTTATTAATAATAAGACAACATTATATCATCACACTGGCATCCACATATAGTTTTTATTTGCCTATATCTTAATCACTCAAAAATACAATATGTAAACTATCACATAGCTGTAGTGTAAACTATCATCTGGCTGTAATGTAAACTATCACCTGGTTGTAGTGTAAACTATCACCTGGCCGTAATGTAAACTATCACCTGGCTGTAATGTAAACTATCACCTGGCTGTAATGTAAACTATCACCTAGCTGTAATGTAAACTATCACCTGGCTGTAATGTAAACTATCACCTGGCTGTAATGTAAACTATCACCTGGCTGTAGTGTAAACTATCACCTGGCTGTAGTGTAAACTATCACCTGGCTGTAGTGTAAACTATCACCTGGCCGTAATGTAAACTATCACCTGGCTGTAGTGTAAACTATCACCTGGCCGTAATGTAAACTATCACCTGGCTGTAATGTAAACTATCACCTAGCTGTAATGTAAACTATCACCTGGCTGTAGTGTAAACTATCACCTAGCTGTAGTGTAAACTATCACCTGGCTGTAATGTAAACTATCACCTGGCTGTAGTGTAAACTATCACCTGGCTGTAGTGTAAACTATCACCTGGCTGTAGTGTAAACTATCACCTAGCTGTAGTGTAAACTATCACCTGGCTGTAGTGTAAACTATCACCTGGCTGTAATGTAAACTATCACCTGGCTGTAGTGTAAACTATCACCTGGCTGTAGTGTAAACTATCACCTGGCTGTAATGTAAACTATCACCTGGCTGTAGTGTAAACTATCACCTGGCTGTAGTGTAAACTATCACCTGGCTGTAATGTAAACTATCACCTGGCTGTAGTGTAAACTATCACCTGGCTGTAATGTAAACTATCACCTGGCTTACATTAGCTTATGTAGTTTGCATCACCTACACCTGGCACTCTGGTGTTGGCACATTTCTCTATCACTTTCTGAAGGCACTAGAGTGAGCGTGACCGTGTAGTGTGCCGTCAATCCTCGGTATTGTTGACCTGCTGGGCGTCACAGTAGCGCGTCTGGATCATCACACGTCCTCCACCGACCTTGGCCTCGGCCCACTACTGATTGACTCCTTGACAATACTGATATGGTAGCCCGTCCTCAAAACAAAGACCCAAAATCCATTCCATCCACAAGCCAAACCCCCTGTTTATAAAGTTTTATAAAAACGTTTTACACACGACTCACAACTGATGACGTCTGAACACTTCCGGAACAAGTGCTTCGCTGACGACTTTTCTTCGATCCACAGTGCTGTAAATGTTTCACCCGCGTACTACAAATACAAATAATCGCCAACAGAACCTAAACACCTAGCCTAACCTATGCCTATGCACAATATGCAAATATACAATAATATTCATTTATATTTGAGAAAATTCGAATAAACTGTTCGGCTGTTTTGAATAAACAGCATATTAAAATTTATAAATGCATCTTTGGGGTCGACCTCTGGATGAAATGGACTTGGTCTGAGGACCGGTTGGATAGGGATCTGTTATGAACTCTGACGGGTTGTAAGTTAACAACACCGAGGTTATGGCATAATGTGGCCGACGTGTTGCCAACCGTTGTTTGTTCAGCCCATCCTCCTAACGGTCCCCAACGTCAAGAAACGCGTACTAAAGTGTCCTTATCCTAACCTATCAGAGGACCCAGAACAGAAAACGGGACAGTATGTTAATTTTGTGAGCAGATACCATTTTCTAGTACAACGATTTTGGCCTTAGGTTGAGTAAACGTCAAAATACGACGGTCTATTAGGAGGACGAGTTGAACTGCTATGCAAACAAAGTCGAAATCACTTTGGTTCTTAAGATGGCTGCCGGAACAGGCAATGGCGCTGTTAGGAATGACCTACATTGATTTTTCATGAAAAAGTTGTAATTGTTATTAAATATTTCCTCGTTTTTGAAAGCTATTTTAATTGAGAAAAATCATATTTACTTTTTGCTGTAATGGAGGCTTCATAAAATGTCAAAGTGATTTCGATTTGATTTTGCTTAGACAAAAATCACAGTTATGTTATTCTGGGTTATAAACCTGGGAAAAATCACAGTTCTTTGGTACAGTTTGGTTATAGGATCAAAATCCTTTCTGTCGTGTTCTATTAAGTTTTCCTTTGTAATCACATGACTAGAGAAACATTATATTAAAATAACACATTTATGGCTTTATGGAATGTTCTCACTTCGTGTTGTTGTTGTATTGTAATGCTATAGAAGTTCTTTCTCAGGAACTGAGAGACTTATTAACGCAAAACTATGTTTAATTGTATCATCAACAGATGATTTGTATCTGATTTATATCAACTACAAAATCTGTGAATATAGCAAGTTTCAGTTTCACTTGTTAAATGTAAGTGTTTCTTCAGGGTGCTAATGTGCACACATTTGTACATAAAATAGCAATGCTAACTATTTACCAAGTTATATTGGCTTAGTCACAACCGGATACAACAAAGATTTGATACAGTCGGAGTTCTAACGCTGCTATGGCAACTGCCTCACTTCAAAACTATTTCAATCCTAGTTATCATAAATAAATCAGTAATGTTTCAGTCACTGTTTATGTATTAGCGTTGGAGGAGTGAGTTAGTGTGGCAGGGGAGGGTAGAGGAGGCTGGCAAGGGTATGGTCGGAGGCTGTGTAGTTGCCGATGGCTCGACACAGTTGACGGTCCCTCAGGTCTCCCCACCCACCGTTGCCTCGCTTGGGCTTGCCAGAGGAGCGGAAGCCATCCTGCAGCACCAGCACTGGCGGGAAGAGGAACTCCTTGGCCACTCTGAGGCGCGTCTCGGCGTTACGGACTTCCCTGTGTACATCACAGGTCCGTTTCTTGACATGCGTTCCGCTGAGGACAAAAAAAAGTAAAAAAAAATTGGTTAGAAATGCGGGGTCCAAGAGCTAATAGCTCGACTCTGCAGATACAAATATTATCGGCTAGTCGTCAGTCTGCGGCTATCCAGATTATCTATGGTAACTGATGCTGCTTTAGGAGAGAATATTAATATCTAATTAATACAAGAGTACTAATATTAATAATATAAAAATTCATTGAGTTGAGGGACAGGAAGCCAGAGTGTATTCATACACGTTTTAGCTTTTATCGAGGTCCCCCCCACCCCCCAAGGTCATATTACAGACCCCGCCCAGGAGGCAACCCTACAACAAGCTGACTACCTCCTGAGTACCTACTGACTGCTGGGTGAACAGGTGCATTAGGTCAATCACAAATGTGCCCATCCAATTCTGTTCCTCCCCCCCCCCCCCCCGGATTTAAACCCCGGCATTTTCGATTGTGCGTCGAGGACGAACTCAACTGTACAACTGGGACCTTTACTCCTTTTATCATTTGTTTTATTTCTTAAGAAATATTACTTGATATCAAGTTATTACTTGATAACTAATTGATCTGGTGTCTCAGTAACGAGGTCATTGACGTCAAATACAGATAATAATACATAAGTAAATAAGTTCAACAAGACATTAAACATTCAAATCAAGAATTACAAATGTTAAGATCTGTATATTTAAAAATTAAACATTCAGTTTGATTAACAACACTAAATATAACTACTGTGGGAATCTTCTTGAGGTTATCTTGAGATGATTTCGGGGCTTTAGTGTCCCCGCGGCCCGGTCCTCGACCAGGCCTCCACCCCCAGGAAGCAGCCCGTGACAGCTGGCTAACACCGAGGTACCTATTTTACTGCTAGGTAACAGGAGCATCAGGGTGAAAGAAACTCTGGCCATCGTTTCTCGCCGGCGCCCGGGATCGAACCCGGGACCACAGGATCACGCGTCCAGTGTTCTGTCCGCTCAGCCACCGGCTCCCCTAACGTGGGAAGATGTAGTTATAGACGCCTCCTGGATAACACTGACTATCCCGCGAGTTCTCTTAAGGTTTCCCAACGTCAAGAAATTGTCGTACTAAAGTGCCCTTGTCCTAACCAACCAGAGGACCCAAAACAGAAAATGGGACAGAATGTCAATTTCGCGTTGCTGAGCCACAGCAACGCGTGGCCGGGTACAGCTAGTTATTAATAATAAGACAACATTATATCATCACACTGGCATCCACATATAGTTTTTATTTGCCTATATATTACTCATTCTAAAATACAATATGTAAACTATCACCTGGCTGTATTGTGAACTATCACCTGGCTGTAATGTAAACTATCACCTGGCTGTAGTGTAAACTATCACCTGGCTGTAGTGTAAACTATCACCTGGCTGTAGTGTGAACTATCACCTGGCTGTAGTGTAAACTATCACCTGGCTGTAGTGTAAACTATCACCTGGCTGTAGTGTAAACTATCACCTGGCTGTATTGTGAACTATCACCTGGCTGTAGTGTAAATTATCACCTGGCTGTAGTGTAAACTATCACCTGGCTGTAGTGTAAACTATCACCTGGCTGTATTGTGAACTATCACCTGGCTGTAGTGTAAACTATCACCTGGCTGTAGTGTAAACTATCACCTGGCTGTAGTGTAAACTATCACCTGGCTGTAGTGTGAACTATCACCTGGCTGTAGTGTGAACTATCACCTGGCTGTAATGTAAACTATCACCTGGCTGTAGTGTGAACTATCACCTGGCTGTAGTGTGAACTATCACCTGGCTGTAATGTAAACTATCACCTGGCTGTAATGTAAACTATCACCTGGCTGTAGCGTAAACTATCACCTGGCTGTAATGTAAACTATCACCTGGCTGTAGTGTAAACTATCACCTGGCTGTAATGTAAACTATCTCCTGGCTGTAGTGTAAACTATCACCTGGCTGTAGTGTAAACTATCACCTGGCTGTAGTGTAAACTATCACCTGGCTGTAGTGTGAACTATCACCTGGTTGTAATGTAAACTATCACCTGGCTGTAATGTAAGCTATCACCTGGCTGTAGTGTAAACTATCACCTGGCTGTAATGTAAACTATCACCTGGCTGTAGTGTAAACTATCACCTGGCTGTAATGTAAACTATCACCTGGTTGTAGTGTGAACTATCACCTGGCTGTAATGTAAACTATCACCTGGCTGTAATGTAAACTATCACCTGGCTGTAGTGTGAACTATCACCTGGCTGTAATGTAAACTATCACCTGGCTGTAATGTAAACTATCACCTGGCTGTAGTGTGAACTATCACCTGGCTGTAATGTAAACTATCACCTGGCTGTAGTGTAAACTATCACCTGGCTGTAGTGTGAACTATCACCTGGCTGTAGTGTGAACTATCACCTGGCTGTAATGTAAACTATCACCTGGCTGTAATGTAAACTATCACCTGGCTGTAGTGTAAACTATCACCTGGCTGTAGTGTGAACTATCACCTGGCTGTAATATAAACTATCCCCTGGCTGTAATGTAAACTATCACCTGGCTGTAATGTAAACTATCACCTGGCTGTAGTGTGAACTATCACCTGGCTGTAATATAAACTATCACCTGGCTGTAGTGTGAACTATCACCTGGCTGTAATGTAAACTATCACCTGGCTGTAATGTAAACTATCACCTGGCTGTAGTGTGAACTATCACCTGGCTGTAATGTAAACTATCACCTGGCTGTAATGTAAACTATCACCTGGCTGTAGTGTGAACTATCACCTGGCTGTAATATAAACTATCACCTGGCTGTAATATAAACTATCACCTGGCTGTAATATAAACTATCACCTGGCTGTAGTGTGAACTATCACCTGGCTGTAGTGTAAACTATCACCTGGCTGTAATGTAATGTCGTACTACATTTTCTAGTACGACAATTTTCGGCCTTTGGTAGAGTATATGTCAAAATGCCACGTTATTAGAAGGATGGGATGAATTGACATACAGTCCAGTTTTCTGTTTTGGGTCCTCTGGTAGGTTAGGATAAGGGCACTTTAGTACGACAGTTTCTTGACGTTGGGAAACCTTAGGAGGACGGGCTGCAAATACTGCACTTTCGACAATGCCAAGATGCTGTGCAGCCAAGGATTAGAATATAAGATAACATGAAGAAATACTAGTCCATAAGTTTCTATTGAACTCAGAAGGTTCGTGAGCTTCATGAGGTTCCTGCCTCACGAAGGTCATGAAGTTGATCTTCGTGAGTCAGTTCCTATATAGACTTAACCGTATTCATTAATATAGTTGTATAGTTCACTCTTAAAACAATTAAGCAACTCTGTTGTATTACCTGGCGACCTGTTACAAAAACCTACACTCAATTTGAAAACTTCCTGATTCTTTTATAAGTCTTCACCTTGCATCAGTTATTTCATGTTCTATTTAGTGTTTATATTTCCAGTGGGATAATCCTAGCAGGCTGTATGTGCCTTTTAATTATTGATTATTTATATTGTATTTTGTTATTTAATTAGTTTTAGTGGTCTGTTCAGCTCGCCGGTTTACTGTAACACATAGTTGGGAGTGTTGGTAAATATACAGTTACAGTCTCCGTGGTGTAGTGGTAAGACACTCGCCTGGCGTTCCGCGAGTGCTATGTCATGGGTTCGTATCCTGGCCGGGGAGGATTTACTGGGCGCAATTCCTTAACTGTATCCTCTGTTTAACGCAACAGTAAAATGTGTACTTGGATGAAAAAACGATTCTTCGCGACAGGGGATCGTATTCCAGGGACTTGCCCGAAACGCTACGCGTACTAGTGGCTGTACAAGAATGTAACAACTCTTGTATATATCTCAAAAATATATATATATATATATACACAGCTTATCCGACAATTGGTGGTGATATAATAGGCTATAAACATTTACAGTTAAATTTATATTTAAAAAATACCACATATGGTGGTCTGTTAACAGCTACAGTATTTGTTAGTACTACAGTGTTATAATTATAATATTATAACTGGGTAAGCATATCTGAGTAGGTAGTTTTGGCCTGTTGGGCAGTGAGTGTGATAGCTGTTTTAACATCTGAGTTCGGTTGGCTACATGTTGTCCAGGTGCTGGGCCATGTAATGGCATCTGTAGGGGCAGCCAGATTATACATGATAGCATCACAGGTTATGTAGTTGGTAAAAACCTTCTCAGTAACTTCCTCCCTTGAACCACACCTGTGAATATGCCAGGCTATAAAAATGGCTAAATTAACATATAAAGTACAAGTGTCACATAAAATATTATGGGGATTGTGTAATAAAGAGATCAGGCTTACCATGCCGTGGGGCTTCACCTGCAGCTTAACCAACTAACCTATCTAATAGTTAACAGTGATCACTTGTTACTAAAAGATGTGGGGAAAGTTGGGTACTCTGCTCTTTCCGTTGTTGTAGAGGTTGCTGTGCATTACACTGTGGGATGATATAGTCTATCGTTTGTGTTGCGTGTCGCCACCTCAGAGAGTACATGTCTCGTGTCCCTATGTTTACAAGTTAGCTGAGAGCATGACTCCCCGCCTCAGGCGCCAGTCTCTCTCGTTCCTATAATATTCTGAGTTTATTGAACAATAACCTGTAGATTTATGGTATATTTTGTTACATCCAGTCCTAGTGAATTCTTTGATCATTAAGTTTAAAAACTAGACTGTTGTGTAAAGAATACATGATGGAGCTTCTTCTTCTTCTTGATAGTAGGTGCAGTTTGCATGAAGGGTTTGTCCTCCCGATGACTGCACCAGTACACGTGTTGGTAGAGGCGTTTATGTTGAAGATGATAAGAGTTTCAAAAGTGCTTGTTGCGTTATGGTGTAGACAGAGGAGCGGCGACTAGAACAGAGGTGTGTGTTGTAGGGAGACTTGCCGTACTGTAGGGCGGTGTGTTGTGTTTATGGCGTCAGCTGATCCTTGGTGCTGCGACGAGGCAGTTGTTTTCTGTGTTTAGCTGTTGGTGGCGCCAGGTATAAATGTGGCGCGGGTCACATGTGACCCAATTTGTTGGTCGACAGGAGATATTTAGCCAGTGCTTTGACTATTTGGTACTTTTCTTGTAACGAGTGGTCACCGCCTCCTAATATATGCTCGATGGTAAAGGGTATTTTAAGTGAGATAAGTACTTGTTTGAAATTTACTCTGGCACTATAGTGTCGGAAGCAATGTAGGAGATAGTGTTCGATTGTTTCAGGCACCTGACAGTGGATGCAGAGTTCGTTGATGTCTGTTCTGTACTTAGAACTGTGTGCTGCTAGTTTGGTGTGTCCGAGCCTTAATCTGGTCATCGCTATATCAATTTCTCTGCTTTTATATCTGACATGTTTCCAAGTTTCCCATTTCCTTTTAATGGACCCGTAGTACAAAGGTGAGCATGACGTTTTCCATTTCGTCGCAAAATCTTGGGTGATGGTATTTTTGAAGGCTCCTTTACGTGCAACATGGGGAACTGGATGACAGGCAATGTGAGGTGTGTTGTGCATTGCTTTGGCTAGTTGATCTACTAGTTCATTATGGAGAATACCACAATGCTCTGGGACCCATTGGATAGAGGTATCATAACCGTTCAATCGATGTTCATGAAGAAGTTGAAGACATGGGTAAACAAACTCCTTGCACGTTTTTGAAGAGAACGTAATTGCTTGAATCGCACTCTTGGAGTCACTGCAGATTGTATATGTCCCGATTGGTAATGTTGTGATTATTTGGAGAGCTTGATATAAGGCATATAATTCAGCTGTGAAAACAGATAGTTGGTTTGGTAACCGCCATCCCTGCTTGAGATGGTATTCTGGTATCCATACAGCGCTAGTGACCGAGGGTACGTTGTTCATGATGATGCGAGATCCATCTGTATAAATTGCTGTGGTATTTGGGTAGCAATTTTTCATTGTTGAGAGAAAGACTGAGGCTATGGCTGAGTTTGGTGCAGACTTTGGAATGTTGTCTTCGAGTTGTATTGCTGTATTAGGAGTTGTATAAAGCCAGGGTGGAATAGGGGGAACAGTAAGTTGGGTTTTCGAGTTTTGGAGTAGAGAGAGGTCTATATTGAGGTTATTTGTAGCCCGTGTGAGGAAAGGTTGTGAGTGATTGGTTGGGAAGCAGGGGTTATGTGGGTTAACTGTTGGGTTAATTTTTTATCTGTATGGGTGTGTCTGGTGAGCAGTGGTACAGAGTGACAGATAGTTGGCACACATTATGTCTCGTCTGGTGGCTAGGCTTGTAAGGCCCGTTTCCCCGTAAAGTCCGAGGATAGGAGTGGAACGCATCGCGCCACATATAAGTCGCATGGAGCTTAATGTGTGTGTTGTTGTGATGACGTCATGGAATCACCCATTCTCTTTAAGCTTTCGGTGATTAACTATACTATGTTAACATGTGTGTCAGAGTTCCAACATTTCCAGCACTCTAGTTCAAATTTAGTATTTCATTATATCCCCTTTTACTTTCGCATTTCAAGAACAAAGTATATTATGCTTTCTTAAACTTTCTTCATTTGGAAGAATCGTAATTTCCGGGAGTTATTTTGCCATTTTACTCTGCACATTGTTAATAGAATTTATATTAATTTTATTGAACGGTGATCAAAACCGAACATTATAGTCAAACCAGAGCCTAACAAGGTCAAGATCAAGCTGCACAATACCATTCTCTAATTATTAACGGTTCTGAATATGAATTAATGTATCATTTTTGCCTATTTTATAAACATTTATACATGACATCCTTCGTTCTGTCATCATTCCCAGATCCTTGTTACATTTAGATTTGGTTGATCCAATGTTGTTGAGCTGATATCCTCCTGAAGCATGACAACAGTATATGGTGATTATCAAGTCCGACTTCCGAAGGTTCCCAACGTCAAGAAATTGTCGTATTAAAGTGCCCTTATCCTAACAAACTAGAGGACCCAAAACAGAGAATGGGATAGTGTGTCACTTTCGCGAGCAGCTTCTATTTTCTAATATAATGTGTTTTGCCCTTAGGTAGAATATACATCAAAAGGCGACGCTCAATTAAGAGGACAAGTTGGGCCAAGAGAACTGAAGCCTTAAATATTTCCGGTTGATGCCGTCATTGTAACCATTGGTGGCTGTTGGGATGGGTGAGGCCGCCCCTCGGCCCCCTCGTGAGCCCCATGGACCCCTCGTGGTCCCCTCGTGACCCCTATAACCCCCTCGTGATCCCCACGGCCCCCCGTGACCCCCATGACCCCCACGGCCCCCCGTGACCCCCATGACCCCCACGGCCCCCCATGACCCCCACAGTCCCTCCCAGAGTTACCAGCTCCCGACGTGCATGACCCGGGAGAGCCTGGCTGAGAGCATGGTCATCCTGGGGTGAAGGCACGTCTGCACCAGGTTGTATAAGGTCCAGTCCCAATTGTAGTCATCGAAGTCGCAGAAGAACTCCTTGCACTGAGCGAGAGTCGTCCAGGCAGCCCGGTCCAGCGCGAAGCCCAGGTTGTGCTTCGTTACCCACCAGTCGCCCTTCTCTATCTGTAAGGCAAGGCAAGGTAAAGGTAATTATCATCAGAGAGCGCTAAGCCAGTGAAACAGGGGGTAATGGCAGTAAAACTCGATCCTAACTACCTGCTGCTGGCTTTACACATTACATAGCCATCACAGATGACTTTATGTATGGGATATAAACCACTTGGGTACAATAATTAGTGTATGTGTGATAGTTACATGGCAGCCCCTTTAATTCCGCCTGTCCACAGGTGCGTGGACCTGCATGGTACTCACCACACCTAACATATTTGTCCATTTTACTGATAGTATCAAAATGCACCATGTAATTAGTGCTTGTTACGGTATCGACACCATTGCAGGAGTATGGAGTGGCGATTTCAGCATCATCTATGGGTCTGCACTCCAACACTCCAGAATTGGGTGCTACGCAGACAACGCCATCTGTTGGTGGTAGCGTGGTATCGGTGAAGGGCTCCGGTTTCCTGCCTCAGTTAGAAGAGGTCGATGATGATGACCTCTTGTGGGTGGCATATTGAGATCAACGCCATCTAAGTTGTGGCTACAATTTACAATGTCAATTCCCCGGTGGAAGGGTGTTATCCTAGGGTCACCCAGTATACTGTCTGTCTAGTTAGTGACATTTTATGTTCACAGTGGTGACGTAAGTAGGCGATTGTGCCGAGGAGGGCAGTCCAAGAAGTCTTGACTTGGTCCTGTGAGAGGACGAAGTGGCCGCCGTCGGTTACAGCAGTGTGTTAGCTGCTGGTTTATGCAGTGTTGGATGAGCCTCCGTAACCGGGATTGGCCAGGAAGAGTTATGCGACGACAGTGGTGCGTCTGTTAAGAAGTGCTGCTAGCGAGCTGCTAGAGACTTCTGCCAGGGGCTAGCTACCCCTGTATGTGATTATTTGTGACCCCTGTCAGTGTGTTGCTCAAACCCTCTGCCAGTGTGTATCTGGAGAGTGGAGGATGGGTATTGACATATCGCAAAGATAAGGTGTGTGGACTGGCCCATGTTGAAGGTGAACTCGCCGTGTTTCCACTAGGTGTGGATGACGTGTAACTGGAAAGTGGATTCACCGGGATTGATGAACACTGCCAATGAATTGTGTCCTGAGTGAAAGAGACACTTAAAAAATACGTGTAGTACTACTTTAATATAATATATAGTGTGGTGAAAGTGTTAATATATTGGTGAAGGTGTGATTGTGTATTGTTTATCCCCCCCCCCCTTTATTCTTTGCACTAATTCCTGACAGCCAGTTCTTGAAAGCTTACCACCCACTTGGGATTGGATATAGAAGAAGAGGTTAGAACAGCAAGAGTCCGGTTACTGGCCCATAGTGGCAGTAACAGTGTTTTAATTTAAGTTCACGTTAATATTTGGGAGGAAGCTGTAGTTATTGGAGATAAGACCAGTGTTATTGTGGAGGACGCTGTTGTTATTGTAGACGAGGCGGTTGTTATTGGGGAGGAGGTTGTTGTGGCTACTAAATGCGGAGTTATTTTTGGGGTGGGAAGTTATTTTGTTTGGGAGTGGGGTGTTGTTATTGAGAAGGAAGATGTTGTTTAGGAGGGTGGAATAGCTGGAGAGGTGTTGTTATTGTTGTTGTTGGGGAGAGCAGAGTTGTTGTTGGGAAGGGTGGAGTTGCTGTTGGGGAGGGTGGTGTTATTATTGGGAAGAGAGGAGTTGTTGGTGGGTGGCGGGTGTTGTTGTTGTTAAGAAGGGGTGGTTATTGTTGGGGAGGGTGAAGTTGTTGGTGGGGAGGTTGTGTTGTTGGGGAGGGTGAAGTTGTTGGTGGGGAGGTTGTGTTGTTGGGGAGGGTGAAGTTGTTGGTGGTGAGGTTGTGTTGTTGTTGGGGAGGGTGAAGTTGTTGGTGGTGAGGTTGTGTTGTTGGGGAGGGTGAAGTTGTTGGTGGGGAGGTTGTGTTGTTGGGGAGGGTGAAGTTGTTGGAGGGGAGGGGGTGTTGTTGTTAGGGGGGGGGGGGTGTTGTTGTTGGGGTGGGTGCTTATAATGATGGAGTTAGTGAGCAGTGAAGCTGTGGCGCCCGTCACCCGAGCAACACCGGGTACTCCAGCTAGTAATTTTAAATTTTTGTTTTCCCTTGAAGGTAAAATAGTGATAAGTTATTGTGTCAGTGCATGAGGTTAGTGGTGTTGTTGTGTTAGGTCATGTAGTGATTATGTCAGAGGTTAGTGGTGTTGTTGTGTTAGGTCATGTAGTGATTATGTCAGAGGTTAGTGGTGTTGTTGTGTTAGGTCATGTAGTGATTATGTCAGAGGTTAGTGGTGTTGTTGTGTTAGGTCATGTAGTGATTATGTCAGAGGTTAGTGGGTCTGTTGTGTTAGGTCATGTAGTGATTATGTCAGAGGTTAGTGGTGTTGTTGTGTTAGGTCATGTAGTGATTATGTCAGAGGTTAGTGGGTCTGTTGTGTTAGGTCATGTAGTGATTATGTCAGAGGTTAGTGGTGTTGTTGTGTTAGGTCATGTAGTGATTATGTCAGAGGTTAGTGGGTCTATTGTGTTAGGTCATGTAGTCATTATGTCAGAGGTTAGTGGGTCTGTTGTGTTAGGTCATGTAGTGATCAGTTGTTGTGTCAGTGATATATAAGGTTAGTTAGGCTGTTGTGTTAATCTATATAAGGACCAGAGTTGATGCAGTCTTATGAGGATAGAGGAAGGTGATTGTGGGTATAACCACACAATACGTCATGGCGTGATAGAGCGTGTACACTTGGCGTCTGTTTTGTTGACAAAGGTCAACGTTGAAGCCACCACCTAAGATGTCACTTTTACTGAGTTTGTTTAGCACCAAATTCTTCAGAATGTTTAAGAATTCAGTTACATTAATAATAGATAATGTATAAACAGATCAAATAGATACAATGAATTTACACATTTTTTTGAGAGCTGTGCTATTTATATTTACACTGATCGTCTGTATATATGCAAATAACTTTAGTGAAGGCAAAGTCATCTCAATAATATATTGCTGAACCAGGTCCTTTTTTATTGGTTCTGCAATATGTATTGCTTTGTAACTGAATAAATCTTAGAGTTCAGTGAGATTGTTATTTTGCAAATTTTCATTAAGATAATGAATGAGAATTTTCTATCTGGTGTTGCTAGTAGTCCATTTGTGCCATCAAAATGGTTTTTAAATGTTCTGATGTTCTGGTTAACTTCTCATAATTCACTTGAATAGAGTTTATAATCTTCGAGAGAAAAGAATTATTGATTTGTTCTGGTTAAATACCGTGGGGCTAGAGTTAATTATTATTTTTTTTTTTTGGCGTTGTTCGCCATGAGGTAAATGTTGTAATGGTTATGTATGCACTCGTTACTAGAGGTATGAGATGGTAGACTGAGCTCAGCACCAATATACGTTACTAGAGGTATGAGATGGTAGACTGAGCTCAGCACCAATATACGTTACTAGAGGTATGAGATGGTAGACTGAGCTCAGCACCAATATACGTTACTAGAGGTATGAGATGGTAGACTGAGCTCAGCACCAATATACGTTACTAGAGGTATGAGATGGTAGACTGAGCTCAGCACCAATATACGTTACTAGAGGTATGAGATGGTAGACTGAGCTCAGCACCAATATACGTTACTAGAGGTATGAGATGGTAGACTGAGCTCAGCACCAATATACGTTACTAGAGGTATGAGATGGTAGACTGAGCTCAGCACCAATATACGTTACTAGAGGTATGAGATGGTAGACTGAGCTCAGCACCAATATACGTTACTAGAGGTATGAGATGGTAGACTGAGCTCAGCACCAATATACGTTACTAGAGGTATGAGATGGTAGACTGAGCTCAGCACCAATATACGTTACTAGAGGTATGAGATGGTAGACTGAGCTCAGCACCAATATACGTTACTAGAGGTATGAGATGGTAGACTGAGCTCAGCACCAATATACGTTACTAGAGGTATGAGATGGTAGACTGAGCTCAGCACCAATATACGTTTGCATGTGATCAAAATAGAAAAGACGAGATATGAAAAACAGGTTTTGGCAGAAGTTATTGTAAACTGTTTGTAGCATGCAATTACTTAATTAAACTATAACAAAACAAACATTTATGAAGGTCCAATAATTTTAGAATATAAGAAATGGATGAATGTATTCAGTAATATTTTTGCTTACTGTCTAAAGAGCCAAACTGGAAAAAAATTTAATTATATTAATAAATATGCAGTTTAAGCAGACAAAACACTGAATAAAGTGTATTGATGTAGTCAAAGGTTAAGAGGTAGCTGGATATGGGCACAGAATTTGTTATTAACACATTAATATGTTAACAGCATATATTCAGTAGTATTAATGCTGATACTGTACAGCAAAGCAGATACAAAAATTTATTCAGCAACTGTAAGTAATAGTATAAATATGTAAATTTATAAAATATAAGTAATAATATATATTACTTATATATTATTTATATTTAAAAAAATGTATTACTATTTATATATTATTAATATTTATAATTCAAAAAATATTATTAAATTTAAATGAATTAGATGAGATACTTCAAACGTAATGTAGAAATTCATTACAATAATATGATACAGCATTAATATGGTCGTGTAAATAAGAGTTTAGATAGACTGTATGTTACTGACGATCACATATTAATACCATAAACGCATCAGCAAAAATATGTATAATATAAATCTATCAATTACGAGAGAACGATATAAAAATTTGCCGCAAGTATTTAAACCGTCATCGCTGACGGCAGTTCAGAAGGCGGATCTAAACTCACGGAATTTTTGTAGGCGGTGGCGGCCATCTTGTTGTAGTTGCCGAGGGCGAGGACCTGGCAGGAGGGACAGGCCGAGGCCCTAAGTCCTCGCAGGAGGCGCAGAACATGGAGCAGGTCCGGGAACACGTAGTGGTCCTCCTCCAGGAAGATCACGTGACCCGTGTAGTTACTCCTGGTTACATTCAAGCCATCAAATACCCTGTTAAAGACCTCTAGATTAATTATAGTTCACTAGAAGGACGCTCGTGTACTCGTTGTGTTTCATGTATTCAGTAGGTTAAGGTGGATAATAATAATAATAATAATAATAATAATTTTTATTTAGGCAAAGGTACATACATAAAGAGATTTTACAAAGGATCTACCTCGCATGCTTCCCAAGTAAGGTCTTAGTGGTGGCAGACAGAGGTCTTAGTCTACAAGACAGTCAGAAGACATTTGTTAATGAAACTGTACTCTCTACTACCTGTAAGAATTAATATGTGTTTGTCTGTCCAGTGTTGGAGGCTAGACACTTCACCCAAACTGACAAATGGTCTGGGGTACAGGATTAGGTTAGGCTGGTCAGGGTCACCGGAATTCAAACGGAAGCAGCATGCCAGAGACACATTCAAAACTCCACGATTATTTTTTGGCACGATTACAAAACTAAATATTTTGAAAATAAATATTAAAAAACAAACAAATTTCTTATGATAATGTTCACAATCATTGTTAATTTTTCCTAAATCAATTAAACATTTCCTGCATTTCATAATTTGCCCGTAGTCGCATAAACAAGACGATCTTACCACAGTTTCCAGTGTTTTTCAAGCCTTACCCTTTTCTTAAGAGTAAACGGGGTAACTATTATATTATTTAGTATTTCACACTACAACGCTCTTCTCATCTGTGACTGCCCACACATGAATGGTAAACAGTTATATTTTTTACGATGGGGGTATTCGGCCATGCCTGGGTCTGTGTCACATCTGTCCACCTATCTATTCATTCATTTATCTATCTATCTTGTGGGGGGGGAACTGACTCATGGGATTTATTTATTTACAATTAATTTATTTCATGATTTATAATTTATTTATAATTCATTTATTTCTTACATTTTGTTTCTTACATTAATTTATTTCGATAGTGTACTGAAAGATACTAAAGTGGACTGTATGAGTTTTTCCCACATGTAGTTTCCTACACAAGCTGGGGTGAGTTATTAATTATATAATCTACCAATCGAAATGATCGATTGGCAGACATTCACTACTAAGTTGTTAGGACTACATAGGTTAGTAAATTAAATGACACAAGTACAGCTTATCTGTATTGGGATATTCTGACCTGGACAACCAGATATGAACGCGGAAGATAACACAAGCTAATATTTCTTATAGGTGATGCTAGTGTAATCACATGTCACGTCTTGTATCAGGTAATTGTTGCTAATTCTTCTTCCCCCTTCAATTACACCTGTCAAAAGGGGTCACACAGTAATAATTGTAACCAATATATGACGGCTATATCAGGGGAAATCATTATTATGATTATTAATATCGGCAACCCATCCTCCGAATTAACAGTACGATTTAATACTAAATGTAATAAGTACATTTTCTTATTGTAATTAACAGTGCATAATTGCACTTATGGGGCTGTTACATTTACCCAACCCCCTCCCCCGATATAATTCTCCTCGTTTTCTGTTAAGACACTCAGAATTTTAGGATGAAGTTTTCAATTTAAATTTTCTATACACAAGTTTTAAATATCAGGAATTTCATTTTTAGGTTTATTAAACAATATAGATTTTATACAAAATATTAAAATATCCAGAGTTACTCTACAATTTATTGATATACTAGCTGTACCCGCCACGTATTGCTGCGGCTTAGTCTGGTTAAATGGAAAAGAAAGAAAATGGACGTTTCTAACATGTTTAATTTCACAATGCTTGTGGGTATACAATATTTTTTCTTGTTCCATTGTCTGTGAAGATATAGAGATTATCTAATTGTCGACTCTAGAACACGTAACATACAATTGTCCATGTGAGAAGCAATCCGTGTCTAGATCTAAACCGCACAGTTCTAAAGATTGGCCCTGAGATTTGTTGATGGTGATTGCAAACGCCAATCGAATTGGGAATTACAATCTCTTAAATTGAAATGGCAAATCTGTTGGAATCATAGGAATGTGAGGAATGAGGACATCTTTACCTTTGAAAGGTTCTGTCATGATTGTTGCTTCTACGACGTTGCTGAATAATTTTTTACTGTAAGCCGCGTGCCGTTGATAAGCTTTGGCTGGTTGATATTTCGTAACATGATAATTGGCATGCCGATTTTTAATTGTAGTTCGTGCGGTGGTATCCCTGGCAGATCAAGTGAATTAAAAAATTGTTGGATAATTAATCGCTTCATCTTCTTCCACCACAGTGTCGACGGACTTGTATGTGACAGCCACGTTTCCGTTCCCAGTTTCCAAAAATTGGTGTGAGAATATCTCAGCTGATGAGTCGTTTTCCAGTTGGACGCGCATATTTGTAGTTAATTTTAACATCTTTACATGGTGCAACAGAGTAAAGTATTTCAGGCAAGCATTTATTTCGTCCACTGGTGTCGATCGAGGAATTACAGATAATGTTTGCATGAAATCTCCTGCAAGCAATATTAATGCGTTCCCAAATGGTCTGATGCTTCCACACAAATCTTGCAATGATCGATCAAGAGCCTCGAGCAATTTTTTGTGGGTCATTGTGCATTCATCCCAAACAATAAGTTTACATTTCTGCAATACTTTTCCCATGCCGGATGCTTTGGAAATGTTGCACGTGGGAGTTTCAATGAACTGCATGTTCAATGGCAATTTCAAAGCCGAAGTAGCAGTTCTTCCACCTGGTAGCAATGTCCCAGCTATTACGAACGATGCAAGACCTAAGGTTATGCCATTTTGGGATCGAAATGCTGTCAAAATCAATCTTATTAGAAAGGTTTTACAGCTCCTCTTGACGCATCTTAGAAGATTTCTCCTAACCCGTTATTGACAGTTTGAATTATTTGATTGTAAATGGCTTTTCGCTCAAGCATTAGTTTAATAATATTTGATTGCACATACGACAACAGATCACCCGTGTTGTAATTTTGTTCACGACGCAATTCTACATTGAACGAAGCAGCAGCAGATCGATTCGGTGATGGCATTCCCAATTGATTGAGAACTTTGTTCGCAATTTCTAAGCACAAATCTTCAATCATTATCAACGCTTCGTTGTAGATTTCTGCTCTGAAATTCATGTTCATATTTGAATTTTCCTTGCTTATTCGACGGGCAATATCTTCAGCAATGTATGATTTGTGTTTCTCCCATACTATGTTGGAGATGAAGGAGACCCGGTGGTCAATATGACTGCAAACAATGCACGAATTTGATTTGGATGTGACGTTTTGGATGTGACGTGTTGGACGCGTCATTAATGCATACATCCCAGTATTGGTCGTTCTCCAATAAATTCAGAGCTTGTCATGCACTACGGAAAGTGGCATGTGTTACGCTGCTGACAAATCTCAATTGCTGGAAAGACGTTGGACCGGGGACATTTACCAACAGCTTGCAAAAAAAGAAGCATTCATCTTGATTGGAATGCACGGTGTACAGTCTGCCTATCGTAGTTCGTTTGAATGTGCCAGGTTGTCTGTCGACTCGCTCTCCTCGTTTACGTCGTTCAAATGATTTTCTACTGGCATTCCATGTGTAATACGTAGGCACTTCCGAATACAGCAATGTTTTCGCAAACGCGTCGTTTTGACATAACGTGAAGAAAGCAGTTAACGTTGTTGTAGCCGGTGGATTCATAGCTGTTTGTTGCACACTTGCAGCTGTGAAATAAACGTGTTGTCCATTTTCTTGTTTTCAAAACAAAAACAAAAAATACTTACGAAATATTTCAATTCAAACGCCAATGAATCGACACACCTTAATTTCACCATTAATTGCACTGAAAAATAAGAAGACCATTTAAAAAAACTGAATGAAAAAATGAATAAAGAATCAAATTAGCGATACCCACAAAATGAACGGTATGGTAAACAACGCAGCTCAATTCCAACGCAATGTCACACAAAATAATTAAATCAAAATGAAAATAAATTAAAATCTTCGAAAATTCAATATATCAATGCAATCGAAAACATTGAAATTGAATCATAACATATCTTGTATATTGTATGTTGCTCTTACGTGCAACAGATGGCGCTGTTTTTCAAAAAATGCATGTTTTTACCTGTCACAGTTGTGGCATCTAAATAGTAGGTATATCAAAACACACATGTCTTCAAAAGGAACGTCGTGTCAAAATTTGAAAGCAATTGGTGAAGAACCTTTAGAGATTACAGCGTGTGTTGCTCATACGTCATACAGATGGCTTTGTTTTTCAAAAAAGCATGTTTTTCCTGGTACAGGTGAGGCATGTATATAGTAGGTATATAAAAACACTTGCCTATTCAAATGCAATGTTGTGTCAAGATTTCAAAGCAATCGGTAAAGAGGTTTCAAAGATTTCCCTCACTTGAAAAACACAACTATTAAAAAAATCACGTTTTTTCCTGTCACAGACGTGACATCTATATAATATGTATATAAAAACCCGCTCGGATGCGAATGGAACGTTGTGTGAAAATTTCAAGGCAATGGGTGAAGAACTTTCTGAGATTAGCGATTTTGAACAAACGAACATTTCCATTTTTATTTCTATAGACTAGCAGTACCCGGCCACGCGTTGCTGTGGCTCAGCAACGCGTGTGCATTTGCTGAGTCACAGCAACCTTCCCTGTCTCCCAGTCCTCCTCACCATTCCCCCTTCACCCGTCTTTTCGGCCTCTCAACCATTCCCCACTCCACCGTCCCCTCGTCCTCCCCACCATTCCCCACTCCACCATCTCCTCTTCCTTTCCACCATGCCCCACTTCCCTGTCACTTTGTCCTCCTCGCCATTCTCCATTCGCCATCCCCTTGTCCCCACTATCCCAAACTTCCCCGTCCCCTCATCACCCCCACCATTCCCCACTCCCTCGTCCGATGCTTTCCCAAATGGTTTGTTGTTGTCATCAGAAAATTGGGAACATCAAGTGATCTGATGTTCCCATCACTGATATTTAAGAAAAACTGTTAAAAATGAAATGAAAATAGGAAAAAATAACAAAAATAATCTAT